AAAAATATTTTCCTTTCAAACTTCCAAATATATTTTATAATGTTTGTTGACAAATAGTCGTGAATGAGTGTTTCTAAAAGTAGAAAAATACCCAATTTTGGATCACACACAATTACCCAATTGATCACAATCCGCAAAGACCCACCCACCCATAATCCAGAAAGCAAGCCGTGGACAAAAGTGGTGGCTTAGGTTCAACCTAGCCCAACTCTCGTCGACAGCGACCTCCAACGCAACATCGTCCACGAACCAGATCCAGTGGGGCCCACAACAACCAAAATAAATAATAAAATAAAACCGGAACGCAGCCCAAATGGAAAACGGAATTCATCCGAAATGCAAATCCAGCCAATCACGTCGCAGCATTAGATCGATCCTCTCTACACCACGAATTTAGATACGCTCTCCCCATGACTCGTGTCGCCAAAGTTCACCAATTTCCCTCCGTAACGTCACGTGACGTGGGCCCCACCCCTTTCCCCTCCAGAAGGCCAACTCTTCTCTGCCTCACTCTGGAAATCTCTCTCTCTCTCTCTCTCTCTCTCTCTCTCTTACTCTTCTGTGGGAAGGCTCTGCATGTTGGAAGTTTGGTTGATGTTTACTTTGTGAAGATTCTGGCGATGTGTGGACGAAACTCTGTGCGTATCTCTGATTGCGGTTTCTGTTTCGGTTTTGTGATTAGTTGTGGCTTCTTCAGAGATGTTTGATTGGAACGACGAGGAGGTATGCGGTTTCTTCTTCTTGATCTTTTTTTTCTTCCCATATTAAACAGTCGGATTTATATTTTGTTGGTTTGATTGTGAAATGATGAAACCAGTTGTTTGGTTTTTGGAGTGAGAAGACATGAATTGGTCTTGTTCTGTTTGGATGGATTATCTTGTTTTAGAAATATACACTTCTTAGGTGAATTTCTGTGTTCTTGTTGATGAATTTGATGCACGGTAGTCAAATATGTTATATTTCTTGAATTTTTGTGACGATCTAGCAAATGAGAGACAGACATATAGAATAGTTATCAGTAAATTCTGAATTCTGAAATTTTTTTCCAAATTTGAATTTTCTAATGCCATAAAGGTAATGACTTATATTTATGTAAGAAAATTGAAAAAAAATGGAGAGAGTCCAAGGATGAACAGTTCTGGAGGTGGTTGTTTGATGAACATACGGAGTGTCAGTTTGTGTTAGGATTGACAATTTGAATTAATCTAGGAATCACTGTTTTTTGTCTTCAGTATGAGTATATAGCACATGGTCATGAACAGTAGGGGATAAAGTGAGCTTACATGATGCAGGAAGAGTTCCTTGTTCGAGTGAAAGCAAGGTGAAGAAACAAGAATCTGGCTGAACTAGGATTCTATATAATGAAATGAAGACCTGAGAAACAACATTTTTTGAAATGATGTTGCAACTTGGATATGTAGCACTAAGTGGAATTATAGAGGTGACATTGAGCTCGGGGGGTTATTTAGAGTTCTAATAAAAAATGTGGTTCTTTATGGTTTCTATACTGTAACTAGGAAATATGAGAGTGAAGAAGGTATAAGGAAAGTTACAAGTTATACCGTATGTGTAACCCAAAAAAGGTAGTAGTGGAATCTCGTCTTGAAAGCTATAGATTACACTGTCCCGAATTTGATTATGCAAACTGTGCTAGTTACACAATAGCGAAACTACAATGAAAATTATGAAAGCTGTAATGCGGAACTGTAGAATCGACATATTTTTGTTAACAGAGGTGTAGGTTTATCAGGTTCTTATATATTTTTGTTAATCTGAAAATTGGGGAGCTGCAGTTTGTTGAGTTTTGAGGTTTTTGTTTTGTTTTTTTTGGGTTGTAGAGTGCCTGTGGTTGTACTACAACCTTTAGGATGTGTTTTGGTAATTCTATCTAGCTGGTGGAATTCTTATCAGCACCTTTACTTTATTTATTTATTTTTGTTTTGTAATATTAGAACCGAGTATTTCAATCTGCAGCATGCTTTGTTAATATTGGTTCAAACGACTGGTGTTTTAATTTTCTAAGTACACCTCTATTATTTGTAATAATGAAGTTTCAATCTAATCCTCAAACACCAACAAGCACTTACACACTATAGTTCTATTAGATACTAGTAAATCCTAACCGACTTGTTTAATTGTGTTAGATGACTTCAGACTAACCCGATTTATTCATTAATCGTGTCTTGTTTGTATGACACATGAACTAGAAACTTAAGACTAGAATCCCTCATTTCTAAATCAAATATACCACTCATACACCCCTTGAACAATAAAAATCCAAATCATTGAGTGCTAAAAAACTAAGAAAAGGATTCAAACAATAACATATGAAGAAGCCAAAAAAAGAAAGGATTTTGTTTCATAAAATATATTTAAATTAGTTTGTCATGTTAAAATTTGGTTATTTGTGTTTGCCATTGACCTAAAATGCTTATTATTTATGTTGCTGTAAGGTAAAGTCTAGGATCTTGAAAGAACAGTAATGACTTCAGACTAATGAAATAATCAAAATGCATCAGAAGTTTCCAAAAGGTGACTGGAGGGATGAAAAATGATGGATGCTTATTTACACGGGTCACTGAGACCGAATCTAATTCGTGCACAATGTGTTAAAATGCCAGAAGCTTTGAGAATTATGATTTCCTGACCAGTGTACATTAATCATCATGCGATGTCTGATTGTCTCTCTATCTCTCATATGTACACAATCTCAAGTAGTGATATGCAACTAAGACAGAATCATCTGTTATTACTTTCAGTGATCTTTTAAATCCTTTTATATCAACTTCCCAATGAAAGTATTTAAATATTGTTCTCATCATGTCTCATGCTAATGTTTAATTTTAGTTTGTGCTTTCAGCTTGCAAACATAATATGGGGTGAGGCAGGTGAGAATGATGATCATATTGTGCCTTATCCTGAGGCAAGTGATGATTATTGCAACAAGAAGGAATGGGGTCAAGAATCTCATACCATCAAGCCTACTGAACGGAAGACCCCTGTGGCCAAAATTGACTTGCATAGCAGTTCCAACTTTGACACCATTGAAGGAATTTCAACCTCTGAATTTGGAATGGACTCGTGGCCTGATTTATCTTTATCTGATGTTGCCAAAACTGAACAGCATTGCATAGGTACTGAAGCACCTGACAATTTTACTGAAATTATCAACAGTGGTTAATCAATTGTTTTTTTTTTTTGGGCATAAAACAAGCATTTTTGTTTTAGGTAAGATATTGGATAAAACAAGCATTGACACACACTTACACACGAAGAGACATGCAAAAGGAATTGGTACCCCAGTGTTGGTTAACCTGACTTCATTTCCTGTTGACAATGGACATCAATTGTGCTATTTCGTATTTACTCCAATTGAAAATTTACTCTTTACATCTCAGCTCCATTTCCTTACCCATCCTCCTATTCTTTCCTGGGACCTGAGCTGTATCGTTTGTTATATGCGTAGTCTATCTTTGAGTTAATTCTTGGTCCTTCCTGGGACAAAGAAAACACAAAACTGTCTTCTTCTTCTTTTTTCTTTTTTTTTTGTTTGCTCGTCAGAGTGATTAGACTTTTTCTTCAGGTGTGGTTCACTTGTTAAATCAACTGAAAATTTGAAATCCTCAAACGACCTGAAGATATCAGGATTAGTGATTGTGTGGCACAGTTGTTTAATCTGAGATTTTGATGAGTTGATGGGGGCATGATGTTGGTAGCATATATGCTTTAAACAATAATTATGGTGATTTCATTGTCATCAATTGTATAGTGGAGTGCTCTATTGTTGGAAAAACAGGAAGATATGGGTAAGGCTTTTTAAGGTTTGTCATTTCCATGTTTCTTTCAAGTTGCAAGCTCAAGAAGATGGAGTTTCAGAAGGCAAAAACATTATGACAATATGAGGAATTTTTGTCAGTACATAAATGGCAAGGAAGGTAAATAACACCAATTTGATGTGATACGCTAATCACTATAACTTGTGGTTGGCTATGCAATGAAACATGCATGATTTTCTATATTTCTATGGGGGAAGTGAGCAGAAGTGTTCAGTGTTTTGACAGGTGTATTAGGGAGGGAGAGCTGTTTTCTGTAGATTTTACACGAAACTCAATTTACTTGGTCTGATTTTAGGGACAGGTTGGTTTCTAAGTTGGACAGATTCCTTTTGACACTTGATTGGGAGGAGGCCTACCTGGATCGTGGACAAGAACTCTTAGTTATGTCACTGTTGAACCATTTTCCTGTTCTGTTGGACGCAAGGGGTTGGGTACCCTTTAGATATTAGTGGCTGCAACATAAGTCTTTCAAGGGTAGTTTTGAAAGATGGTGGCTGGAGTGTTCAATGCAGGGCTAGGCAGGTTTCAGGTTTCTGAAGAAACTGGAATGAGTTTAACAAAAGCTGAAAGTGTGGAATAAGGAGCTTTCTGGGATTTGAGAGTTAAATAAAAAATTTGAGCAGGAATAAGGAGATTGATTTGTTGGACAAGGAGTGAGTCTAAGTGCAGAATTGATCAAGGAGAGGAGTGATCTTAGAAATAAGTTGGGTGAGGTGATGTTAAGGAACATTTTTCTCTGAGGCAAAAAACGAAAGTGAAATGGCTAAGGGAGTGGGATGATAAAATTGTTTTACTAATTGGGCCGGCGAGCTGTGTTTCCACTTGTTTCCTAGTTTATATTGGATTTCTTTGAACTGCAGCACAGTGATCTCTTCTTAAGTTTCTTCTTGGATTGGCATCATTTCTTGGGACAGGTTCGGAGTAATTTTGAGTGAGTAAGAGTTTGAAGAACATTTGGAATTGTCTTTTTGTCTAGCCAGTATCTCCTTGCATCCAAATCATGTCCATAAAATGTAAAGGTCTGTTCTTTCCTCTGGTAATTTTCCTTTCATGTAGCCAACACTCAATGAAATCTTCCCTTTGAGCCCTTTAAGTTGATTTGGAAGGTTGGTGTTCTAACTAATGTGGAAATTGTACATGGGGCTGGTGATCTGTGGGAAAATAAATGTGTGTCACTTGCTCCAAGAAGAAGGCCTTATGCATGCTTGTAACCACCTTGGTCTTTGTCGTGTAAAAAGGAGGCAGAGAATACTGACCAAATTTGTATGCATCTTCATTTCACTAGGCAGATTTGGGCTTGCATGTTGATGGTGTTTGAGTGACTTGTGCATGTATCCAAGGAGCTGATTTCGTTGTTGTCAGAGGGTCATTGGGCAGAAAGGGGCTAGGAAAATTTTGCTCACTCTGGAGATGTGCTGATTTTGCTCTTATGTGGAATGTTTGGCCGGAAGAGAATAGCACACTCTTCGAGGGCAAAGAGGAGGATGTGGAGTTACTTTGGGATAGGATATATTTTTAGTTTCTCAATGCTCTTCATTGTCAAAGAATTTTAAAGGCATCCCTATTAATGTAGTTCTTCTTTATTTGTTTTTTTTTTTTGGGTGGGGTGGGGTGGGTGGACTGGTGAATTTCTCGTCTATCTTACCTTTTATTTTCTGCTTGTTTTAACATAATTCGTGGTTCTTATTAAAAATTGGGTGGGGTGGGGTGGGTGGACTGATGAATTTCTAGTCTATCTTACCTTTTCTTTTCTGCTTGTTTTAACATAATTCGTGGTTCTTATTAAAAATTACCCTTTTAACAGCTGAGACAATTCAACTTGATAAAGATGGTGAAAATTTTCAAAATTCCAATGAAGCTAAAGAACAAGGTGATCTTGTTGACTTTGGGTGGGCTAACATTGGAAGTTTTGATGATCTTGATCAGATTTTCAGGTAATTCACCATGATGACATCATTTTCTTGGTTTGTTAATGAAGCATATTCGTCTCAAGAATATTCTGATATATATGAGTTTTTGCTATCGCACAGAAGTTTGCTCCTCGTTCTTTTTCTTTTTAGAATTAACGAGCTGGCATGATCTGAAAACCTAATTAAGTTCACCTTCTGTGTAGTTTCATTACTATCATTTGTAAATAGTTTTCTCTATATAAAAAACTAAAGCAACTGAAATGTTATGTGCTTCTTGGAATTTGTACTCTGAAGAACACCAGGTATAACATACAAAGTACTAAATTATATTTACAGTTGCAGACCATGAATTAGTAATAGATTTTGATACTCCTCACTCCAATTGTTTTACATAGCTTATTTAACCTTCCATATTAAATAATAAAAATATGCAGCTGTATCCATCTGACTCAATATTCTCACAAGTGGTTATTTTGCAGCAATGATGACTCCATCTTTGGCCATGCAAGTCTTGGTAACACTGACGAGCTATGGTCTTCTTCTAGAGATGCAACTACAAGTCCAATCAAAGCCTTTCCTGTATCTTCAGACTCACCAAGTTTCACATCAGGAGCACTAAGCAATGCATCTGAGAAATTGGAAATTAAAACAGAATATGCCCAGAAAGATGACGAGTCAATCACCCCTGGCTATGGAAAGACGAATTATTCTGCATCTCATGGTCTGCAGAATGCACATTTGATTCTTGATCATGTGGAATATGCTGGTGGTAAAAGTAAGCCCATGGCAAAGGAACAGGTACTATGATTTAATCTAAAACATGATCAATTCATAGCACATTCATATTTTTTCACTAAATTAATCCAGAAAAGCAATCTCATAATTTTATTTGACTTTCACAGACAGATTTGGACATGGGAAAAAGCACTCTGACAAATTCTTACTTGATTGCTGAGAATTCTTCTACCCCAAATGAAATAGCTAATAAGGTACCATCTCTCTCTCTCTCTCTCTCTCTCTCTCATGTTCTGATATGCCTAGGACTCATGATGAGGCAAATCATTCATGGTTCTTAATAAAAAGTTAAATAGTCTGTCTGATGTCTTTTAGAATAATAGCATATAGGATGTGGAAATGCTTAAGAAATTACTTCAAAATGTAAATGGAGTTGTCAACCTTTTGTATTAAAAGTCTGTTTAGCATGGAGGAAGAGTAACTAGTAGTTAGAGAGGGAAAGTATCAGTAGCCTGTGAGTATCGCATTTGACAGAAAAAAAAATGTTATCTTTAGTCGAAGTATTATTGGTTATTTTCATAGTATGTCAGGTTTTTTACAGTCTTTCCTTTAGACCTCCGACTTTGATTAAAGTATCATTAATCTTTTACTTACTGTGTATATACTTTCTATTTTCATCAACTGAGATTCAGATATTCATGATTAAAGTATCATAAATTTTCTACTTGTTTTGTATGTCAAAGTGAGGATTTTGGTTCATGTTGTACTATTCCAATTGGATTTCATAGATCGTTGTAATAAAGAAGGTGCTAGGATTCCATATTCATCCAATTTTGGGAGAAACCCACAAACACACACCACACACCCCCGCCCCCCACCCAACCCAACATCAAACTATTAAACAATATTCAAAAACGGAAATTCTTAAGACATCCATGCAAAGTAGTAGCCACTAACATGATAAATGCATTTTCTTCTGGACTTCATCCAAGAGACATTAGGCCAGGTATTGTTGGAAAAAATTCGTGGGTTAGGTGGTAATGAAGGAATTGCAAAGATGCCCCTAGAATACAATGAAGTCTTGCACTTTCTGTTGTTGGTCTGCCTTTTGCACTTATGAAAACCAACCTGAACAAGAAGGCTCAATGTTTAGAAAATAGTGAAATCGTTTCTGGAAATTTATAGAGAAACTGATGAGTTTTAGAAAAAGAGAGAGTGACGAATTTTAGAGAGGGAGAACAATATTGGGATCATACAAATTTGTGAAATGTTATAAAAGTTGTAGCATTCTTTCTTTTTACACCGTAACTTTATCGAGTACAGAAAAATCTTTGTTGATTACAATATCAAATTCAATGTGTTAGTTTGTACTTATTCATTTCAAATTGAGTTATAGGGCTTCTTCCTTCATATGTGCAGGGTTCTAGACTCAGAAAAATTATGAGGGGTCGCAGAAAGTTGGAGGAGAAAAGTGAGGAGAAATCATTGCAAGATTTTTATGGCACATGGCCTTCATCAAGAACCCCTTCTGGACATTCTGAGAACCAATTGGCACACTTCATGCTACAATCTTCTCCTTCTTCAGAGCTCAGCCAGAAGAGACAGCTTCAAGGACCTGAGTCTTTTCCATACCAACATATCTCAAACCAATATGTGGCCCAGTCTATGTATGGGAACCTCACTAATCCAAACCATGCTACATACGTGCCGTCTCACATTCAGCCTGGGGAGTTGAAGCATCAACATTGTTTTTCTAGTTATGAAGTTTCTCCTGGGAGTGCAAGGGCTATAAACAAGTCAGCAGATACTTCTGTGAAGCCTCTGACCATGACTCCTCAAGAAAAAATTGAAAAGTTAAGGAGGCGGCAGCAACTACAGGCAATGCTTGCCATTCAGAAACAACAGCAACAATTTAGTCATCAAATCTGTAGTACCAATCATTCTACCACTCAAAAATGTCCTCAAGAAAATAAAATTCAGCATTTTGAGAAAGCTGATCTGGAAGTTGAAGGCTTTAGCACTCTTCCTTCTCTGGACCCAAACTCATCCGCAGAACAAGATGATTCTGGTATGGTTTCTGCAGCAGTTGATGATTACTCAACGGAGGATACAATACTTTACAGGCTTCAAGATATTATATCAAAGGTATGCTCACTTTCAAAGTGGATTCTTTTCCTGCTAAGGTAAATTGGACTTAGTTACAATGGCAAAGCAATGTTTCACTACAGTTGGACATCAAAATAAGACTTTGCATACGGGATAGCTTGTTCCGGTTGGCTGAAAGTGCAATGCAAAGGCATTATGCTATTGATACTAGCAGTTCAAACAAAACTAGCAAGGATGAGGATGAAGTCGTTGCAAAGGAGGACACCAATAGTCATAACAGGTTAAAAAGCTTCCTTGTTCTCATAGTTTTGTTGCAATTTCATTTGAGCCCAAATGGTTATCCCTTGTATGCTGATTTCCTACATGGATTTACACCCGTGAAAAGAAAATATTTACTTGTAAACAATCTGAAAAGAACAGAGAAATAGTCATCTAGGTTATAGAATCCTATAAAATCCATGACTTAATAGTACTCTTTTTTGGTTTTTCTTTCCATGCCTGAAAATAATCAGTGAAACTGTCATGAACTTGTTGAAATTTTAGTTTACACATGTAGTGAATTTCTTTGATTACTAGTAATGGTTAATGCTGGAACTTTTCAAGAATTAATGAGAGACTTCATTTGGGAGGTGGTGAGGGTAAAAAGAATAATTTAATCAGTTGGGATCTTGTATAGAAGCCGAAGGGGAAAGGTGGGTTAGTTCTTGGATAAAGAGTTAGGGGTTTAGTAGGCAAATGGTTCTGAAGATTTCACCTCAAAAATTTCCCCCACGGTTTGAAATATTAGGAATATAAGTGGAGTTAATTCTAATGGTTGGAATTACTGAAAGGTTCATTTCGATGTCCTTTGAACTTTTGAGATTGATATTTTTGTGTTATCCTTCCCTTTCTCATTTGTTGAAATTCATTGTTGATATTGGAAATATAAGTGGATTTTTTTGGGAAGATATTTGGGTTGGTAAGTCGTCTTTCTGATTGTTGTTATCCCAACTTTTACCGAATAGCTTCTATTTCACGTTCTTGTGGGATTTAAGTTTTCAAAGGAATTTGAATGGGATATTGATTTGTTTATGTTATAAATAAATGTTTCCTAAAACCCAAGTTTTTTGGATAAAAAGACCGTTTCTTTCCCACTTTTTTAGAGTAAATTGGAAACTACTTCATGCTGTATAATTCTTTTCCTTTATTAACTTTTTATATACGCTCACAGCTACTTGGGTCCTTCATGAATACCCTATTATCATCTTTTATGATGCACTTGACTATACTTAACAGCCCATGTATTGTAGAAAGTTACGATTTTCCCTTTTTTTTCTCTTTATATTTAAACTCTGATCAATTTTATATTTGGGTTTGGAGTAAGAACCATTTTGTCCAAGTTGTTTTTCACTCACTTTCCTATTAATCCCATGGTATTGCAGGCATGGTAGGATGCTAGATGTCGAAACAGAGACCAATCCCATAGATCGAATCGTGGCCCATTTGCTCTTCCATAGGCATTTGGATTTATCGGAGAAACATACTGACGCACCTGAATCACCTGTTTCTTCTAAGTTGACATGTGAACACAAAGCAGGTTTATTTAACGTGTCGAATGAATGCTTGCCAGACAGTTTGAAGAACAAACAATGTTCTCCTCGTCAGGGATCTACAAATTATTGCCCATTGGGTGAGCCCCATTCTTCGGACCTGTTTAAAAAAGGTCCTTTGATGGACAACTCAGAAAACGCATCTAACAATGGTCCGACACATGGTGGAGCTATGAAGGCTGAAGCCTCTCTGTGAACAAATATGTGTCACATAATTTGATAAGGGTAATTCCTTCCTTTATCTCTCCCATGCTAATTAATAATTTAATAGGTTTCTAGTAAATGGCTGTACGGATTCACTGGTAATGTGGAGATTTTCTTTCATTGTCAGCCAACCACGATCTTCATCAAGTGTGGTCATGGAGCTTTCGGCAACACTATCGATGGGGAGTATCCTATAAATGAATGCGCTTCATAAAAAGGTTGCATGTTTCAAGACAATGTTCAGTATAAGTAGTTATGTACGTGTCAACTGTCATAAGATTGGCTAAAGTGCCTCACATATACGAGGCCATACCTTGCTACCTGTGTGAGTAACTATGTATGAAGAGTTGGAGCTGCATATTTAGCTAGTATTTCAGCTCCTAACAAATTTATGCGTTCAACTTGCAAAAATAAATCCAGAGGTAATATGTCCTTAGATAAAGTAAATATCTTAGATTGTTAAATAAGATATGAATACTTGATTTACATTGTCCAGCTGCACAAACGACAAGCTAGTTTTTCGGTGGATGGTTTTCTACTTCTGCTTGCAACTACTTTTGTTCTTGTGTTGTGCCCTTGTTTGTTTTCCAAGTATGTTGTCATAGCTTTTGTTTTGGAGGTATTTTTTTGGTCTCATGTTTTGGAGTCTATATATGGGTCTTATAGAGTGTGATTTTTGTCTTTATATTTTACCAAAAAGAAAGTGAGTGCCCATTGAACAATTGAACGCGATAGCAGTACATTGAGGTTGGAATATACAAATAGAATGTATACGGGTTTTATAGGGCTTGTTTGATAGGGAGAACTAGATTAGACTAGAGTAGCAAAATGCCTACATTTCATATGCATTCAAGGCATAATATGAATATGTTGTCTAACTTGGAAGAAGAATGAGGACTATCTATAAGAGGTTGATGACTAAAACTTATCCGTGGGTCTATCTATTAGAGAATGGGAAGTATTCATACTGTGGGTTCTTTGGACGTTTTCAACTGGTATAAAGAACAGTAAGACTATATATGTTGTCATGGATGGGAAGGTAATGCAAGATGCCATTGTTGAAGCTTTCCAATTCACATCATCGTTTATGTTTATGGTATATTATGAGAAATGTGAACTCCAATTTGAATGACTTGAAAATTGTAAGAGAATTTAGCTACTACGCGCATGGTGCTTTGATGCTAGAAATTGAGATGGTGCACATAATTAGAAAAGATAGACTGAAGCTTATTGCTCGAGGCATTCTTTGATGGGATACCACCACGCAACTAGTGGCGGGTAAGCATAAGAATTTGAAGGATGGAATCGGTAGACGGATGAAGTTAGTCATGTGTATTCCGCGAATTGATATATGTCTGTTGAGTTGTTGAGAAATGAGAATGTGAATGATAGATCTATTTGAATAATTCAAACCCGGTTCCTCTTACCCAACTCTGATCTTCGAAGGGACATAGATTTTCCATTTTCACCCACCACGTTTACAATTTGATAAGGAATGAGATTTTTAAATTAAAAAAAACGACATTTCATTTCGTTGCAGCCCATAAGAAAGGATAACAATCTTCATGTTCACAAATTTTCCAAATTTGGGAGAGCCATTGAAGGAATGGATTGCGTTTTACTACCACACAGAGCACCACTTCATAATCATCCAAACTAATTGAATGGAATTCCTTGTTGTCATACATTTTGTGTTATGAAATGTATGCATATGGACAATCATGGCATTAAACGTAGGGACATTTTGGTCAAATTTGTAATTAAACACACTTAACTCCAATATTTTCAATCCAAAAAATTCCATAAACTTCCCATAAATACATTTAACAATAAAATGGTTTTTTTACAACATTAATAACAATAAGAATCTTATTTTGAGGTTATTATACAACTTAAATTTTGGACAAGGTTGAGAAAGAGAATAGGTTAGTATATATGTTGTGACATCTTTTTCACTAAAATACCAAAAAACAAAAAACAAAACCAAAAAAAAAAAAAAAAAACACTAATACTTCGACGAAAGGACCAATGTCACAAACTGTATTGAAAGACCAATGTGAGAATCATGTAATAATTCAAGGGATAAAGCTACAATTTTTCACAAATGTGGATACTTACTAAAAAATGAAATATCGAAGAGATATCAAGGATACATAGAGCTACAGTTTCTATCAAATAATCTTATGTGAGGGACACCCTTATAGGGCACACTAATGTGTTTGTTCAAATTTTTCACGAAAGAATATTTGTGTATAAATTGTTCACCCTTCAGGCTTCCTTCTCTCTGGCGTAACAGTTTAGAGGGGAGAGAGAAACTTTTGTTTACTAATAGATGTTTCTCCCACGTTATCTCCTCATTAATTCTAACTTCTATTAACACTATTTCCCCTTTCTATTCCCTTTTCTCTTTCATTCTAGGGTCATAAAGAATTAGGGATGGCAATGGGTAAGTACGGGCCCAAGTATGGTAATACCATACCATCCTCGTCTCTAGCCCATTCCCTTTAAGAATTTTCAGGGAATCCCTGTCCCCATACTCATTGAGGGGCTGTCTCCCAAATCCCTGATTTTTTTTTATACAAAAACTATTTATCCTGCGAGTTGCAACACACTACAGGAAAAAAAAGATATATCCCCCTAGTCAAATTTGGAGAAGATTATACATGCAGTAACCGTAACAGAATTTGTTCACTGCAAATCCAACAAAACACAATGTAAAGTGAGAGTAGAAACCTAAATAACTTAACAAATCCACTAACAAAATATTAACATTAGCATCAAACTATAAATCTGACCAAGGGAAAATTTTATTTTGAAAGGAGAAAAGCAAGGCTTCGATAGCAACTGATTATAGATTGACAACTGCCAATATACTCTCATATACAAGCTTTGTGCTCCTCCATGATATCTTCCACCATCTGCAGGAGGAATAGATGGACCAATTGCAGCTACCTGAGAAGGATTCAAAGGGGCAGATGTGTAGGGTAACTTATGCTTTGTTATATTATATTATGTATTTATTGATTTAAAAATAAATATATAATTATCAGGTAGTGTTCGGCGATGAGAATACCAATACCATTCCCAGTCCGTACCGGATGGGGATTTTTAAAATTCGAGAATCCCTGTACCCACCCCCAATTTCCCTCCAAAATCTCCCCCTGTTAGGGCTGGGGACCCGACACAAATTTCAACCATCCCTACTAATATACTAAATTTAAACAGATATTTTCATCACAATATAACCTTTCCACCCACAAGATACTGCACGTCTAATGTTCAGCAAGGGCATCAGATCTCATTTGTGAAACTTTAAATAAGGACAATGATTTCCCCACTCTTATTTTATCCACTTACACTCCTTTTTTAGTTATAAAAAAGGAGTGTAAGTGGATAAAATAGAAGAAAAATGAGTGGGGAAATCACCTCTTTTAAATAAAGAGCATGTGACCTTATTTGCGGATGAGCTATAATTTTAAGAAAAATGACCTTACAACTTTACAATTCTACATGCCGTTCATAAACATGCCATAATTGATTTTGAGAATTGGAGGGTTAAAATGGGAACTCTAAAAAAGTTCGTGGACCACTCATGATAAAGACCCTTAATTTTCTGGTTACCATTTCCCCACACAACCAAACACGTACTTGTCATCTCTTGGGAATGGAGATAAGAGTTTCATTCATCGGGCCAAAAGGGGCCCTACAAGTTAGAAGGAGTTCACAAGTTAACAAAATGGAAAGGCGTAACAATACAACTTGTGAGATTTTAACATAACGATTCCTTCAAAGTACCAAATCACAACCGAACCAATGTTAACTTTTGTTTAGTTCGGTTTATGCCTCAAATTAATAGCATAACTGTATCAAATCAACTCATTTAGTGACCAATTTTGTTCGATTATCTCCCTTAATAAATAAATAAATAAAAATTAGACAACAATTAAATGGTTTGAATGGTTTTTTGCCAACCCCTAATTAAAAACTAAGTACATGGTTAAGTAACACTTATCCAGGGGCGGCCCTGGCATGGTGCAAGAGGTGCTACTGCACAAGACCTCTAATTTTTTAGGGCCTTATAAATTTTTTTACTTTATATTATATTTATAAAAATTATATATACTCCAGCGTGCAACACATTGACACAAAAGTGTATTCGGTAAAGCTGGTTTCTAGTGCATATCCCTTGATACAAATTCATGCCTAAAATAAAAATTTTAAAAAAAAATTCATGCCTTCTTTTGCTTGAACTCTTTTTTTTTTTATACCGAACATACTAATATTTAACTTTATCAAATAAAAATCTCAAAATCTTAGGACCAGCCCTGCACTATACATGTTACTCATCTTCACTTTAGGTCAAAACACGATATCGTGTCACTTAAAGCACAACCGATGATACTAATTGAATTATGTTAAGGACATAATTGCCATCCCCTGAACTATAGAAAGTAGTTCTAATTAATAGTACTTTATGTAAGTAACACAGAAAATACAAACCCATTAAATCAAAACCTGTTTTTGAATCCAGTCAAAACATGACTAAAGTGACTTCTTTATTTTGTATGTCATCACTTCATAAAGTGGCATGTAAGTCGTGTAGAAGGATCAGACGACGCAACGGTAAGTTCTGAGGGAACCAACAACTCCACCACAGTAAGTAACTTTCACCACCTTCCCTTTCTCCAATCCATAGTATCGAGCAATTCCATCAGTTTCCAGCATTAGAGGGAGCTGTGGAAGACACAAACAATAAATTGCCTTCAATAATTTTATCAACCAAATTCCAACTTAGTAAATTGCAATCAACAGCTAGCATGACAAAGAAATTCTATGCTGCCAAAATAAGTCTATTCAGATTAAAACTATTTCAATGGATACCTTGCTCCCAACCAATGGAGGAAACCACTAACCAACTATCAAGAGCTTGATGTCAAATGAAAACTAACTAGCTTCCTTGTGTTTCACTCATAAAACAGTAAAAATCAATCACCAGTAAAGCTACCCTTGTGCTTAGCTATATCAGTGTCAACAAAATTTAAGCCAAAAAAAAATCAGCAAATAGATTTGACCCTAATTGTCACCAACATTTGTAAAGGTTGCATTCAAGATGCATACACAGTCACCTGCTTGTCTTCCAACTTGTACTTCGTTAGCAGCTTGTTCTTTTCTTCGGCAGTGAGTATCTCGAGCTTTGGATTCAGAGCATGCTTTGTAATATTGACCAGCAAGTCACAAATCTAAACCCAAAGCATAAGTATTGGGGTAAAATGGAAACTCTTAAGCTAAAACCAGAAATATTAAGGGAAAAATGCACAAAGAAACAAGAAAGGAAAGGTTGGATAAAACTTATGCTCAAAGTCCAAACGTTAAAGGCAAACAGCCGTATTGCCTAATTACAGCAAAGTTACGAAAATGTAGACAGCCGCATTGCCTTCCAAGTGATAAATTATACACTAATATTCATCTAAATTGGCATATCATAAAAAAAACATTTGAACACCGAACAAAAAATAAAAGAGAAACATGTGAACAGGAAACTCAATATTTATGCTTCAGAGGAAATCCAGATGATGGTTTTCTCCAGTTATTCAGCATAAAACAAACAGAAAATGCCTTGACAACTCAAAGAGTAGCCCTTAGGACACTTGGAAAAAGGGTACGGTACAATATTGTAGAACAATATCAGGTAACTCACATGGAAAGTCTCAACTTTAAATGGATACTTCTCCAGTTCTTTCCGAGCATAGGAGTTCATTTTACTTTGCAGGACAAGAATCAGCTGGTGTATATTTTCTTTGTTCGGGAGGCCAGCATAGATGCCACACATAGTCTGTTTCCTTATTTCCTCAGTTCCACAAAAGATGACAACAATCTGCAAAGAAACTCAACATTCAGTTGCATCACTAATGCTGGAACCAAAAAAAAAAAAGCATGGAGGTTTACATAGGAACAGAGAAAAACATCAATTAATTACATGTCATTTCAACCATATCACTTCTGGTTTTGAAGAACATTTTCTTTTGGACCTTGCCAGTTTCTAATTTCCAACATTATTTATAAAAACAAAAAAACAAAACAAAAGGAAAAAGTCAATCAAAAATCAAAAAATTTCACTGCATGAAGCTTTTGTTCTTTTGTTTCAGAAATTT